TACTTGCCCTGACTCGGACTCCACTGACAAACAAAGACTCGTCAACGCCTGCGACGTGTTGACAACACCACAACCACCACTACAACAACAACCACAACCACAACCACTACCACACTCACTACAACCACCACCGCCACTACCACCACAACCACACCCTGATTATTTTATCGCCCGTACTTCCCAACAACAAATCATGACAAGAACAAATCACAACAGCAACATCAACAAATCACGACAACACCAACAACCACTCACTCCGTCTGTACCTGGTCGTAGAACCCCGTAGCCCACAGAGATCAGACAACAGCCTACAGCTTTGTACTACACGGAGGTCGACGGACTTTCAAGAACAAACACACAACAAAGGGAGTGAGATATCTTTCCAAACAAACGGCTTTAGACAGGTTGATCTGAGCTGTGACTGAGTGTGAGGCGTGAGGTACTTCTCGCGTACCCCCCCCCCACACACACACACACCCTAAACCACCACCACTCCATAGTTCACGGGCCACGGAGTTTTCATTCACCAGCTCAGTTCTGCCGAAGAAAACGGGAGATATTTATTTATTTATTATTCACCTCAGTTCTGTCTAAGTTGAGGGAAGATATTATTTATTTATTTATTTATTTATTTCAGAAACAGACGACTGAGAGGCTCTGAAGGCAGAGGGTTCGAGACTGGTGTTTTCCAAGACGAACAGCTTTATTCCTCGTGTTGTTGACTCGGGAGTAAGACCTCACTATCAACACAAACGTGAGCACACACGATAACGTGAGTACACATTGTCGCGAGCACACACTGTCGTGAGCACACACCAGCTAGGTCTACTGGATCAGAGGACGTGCAAGCGCTCTGTGGAGTTGTTGTGACCACTTTCGCTGCGTGCAGGAGTATAGCAGTATTGTAATAACTGTCACAACGCCTTGTCTCAGCATTCTGTGAGGAAATTTTCGTTGAGTGCAGGACTGTAGTGGTATTGTAAAAGCTGTTACAACACTTTTTGTCTGCAGATCAACATTCAAAGTGGAAACTCTCGCTGCGTGCAGGATATAGCAGTATTGTAAGAACTGTAACAACACTTTGTCTTTACGTTCTGTGTGGAAACTATCGAGGTGTGTCGAGTCGGAACATTCTGTTACAATCTTTCTTCTGACTGGATACGTTCACATTGGAGTACGATTAAGCGCAGAGTTCTAAAACCTTTTGGGAGAATCTGAAGCTCGTGAGAAGAACCAGACACAGTTACAACAAATCTTTCTTTGACCGCCTACAAAGCTACCAGTTTCAGCGTCTTTGTTCATCTGACAGGATTGTTTTCTTTGGAGTTGGATAGAGCTCGTGGATTGTTTGTGTTTTCTTCATACAGCGTAGTGTGTGTGTGTGTCAGAAGTTAAGTTTTCAATACCAACTGTGTTTGTGTGTGTCAGAAGTTAAGTTTTCAATACCAACTGTGTTTGTGTGTGTGTGTCGGAAGTTTATTTTCTACATACATCCTGTCTGTGTGTTTCAGAAGTTTGTGTTCAACACCAACTGTGTTTGTGTGTGTTACTAGTGTGTGTTCTACATTAACGGTGTTTGTGTAAACCACCTGTGTGTGTTACTTTGTGTGTATTTGTGAGTGTGATAAGTTCTAAATCCCCGTGAGGACATAGCACCCTGCTCACAGACGTCACAGATCTAGCTCCCCAAGATGGCGTGTGGGTTCGGCACGCTGGTCGTCTCCATGCTCATCCTGTTCGCTGCTCTAGCACTCACCATCGTGGCCGCCATCACCAACTACTGGTACGTGGTGGAGTCACGTGACATCACCAGCGAGGAGGTGAGGAGGGCCAGCAACTACCACTTTGGCTTCTGGATGAAGTGCTACGACGAGGAGCCGCCCAAAAGTG